ACAGTAACTTGCATTATAAAAAAAACCCTTTAAACAATTAGAATTTAAAGTAAATGGTAATTTATTTGAAGGTAAGTTACAACAATAAGTAACTCCCCACTGGAGGAGGAGGAGGAAGCGGTAACCATCCATGTCACTTCAGGCAAGTTTTTTAAGTTTTAAAGGGTAGTTACAATGTAAGTCCCATGTTGAAATGGTCCTCAAGTATTAAGAGCACAGTTTGATTTTGGTAATCTAATTGGAATACAATCTATTTCGAAAAAAAATATATTAGAGCAAAATCAGTTTGACCTTTATTAACATCTTAAATCTCTGATAGAGTTAAACTTTAGAAGATATCCTTATTACTCATGCTTTGACTCAACTTGTGCTCACATCCCTAGGATTTAAGTCTGAGGTTTAAGAATTAGATTTGGGGTTTTAACTTAAGACGTATATCTAGATTTAAGATGAATATATATATATATATATATATATATATATATATATATATATATATAAATCTAGGTAGTATAAGTAGGCTTTACATATACATTTAGATTTAATTAGATATACAGCAGGTAAAAAAAAACTTTAACACACCACCATTTTTCTAGAGTTGCTATTGACATGACATTTTTATCAGGTGTCGGTAATGTTTGGGGTCATTGGCTTGCTGAAATGTCGACTATTTATTTTATCTTCATCATCCTGGTAGATGGCAGTAGATTTTTTTGGGCAAGAATGTCTTTGTACAATTTTCCATTCATCATTTCTTCTATTATTTGTAGTTTTCCAGTACCCTATGCTGAAAGACAGCCCACACCCTGATGCTCCCACCTCCAAACTCCACTGTTGGAATGGTGTTTTTCGGGTTGGTTTCTAACCCTTTGTGCAGACAAATGCACATATGTGAACTGCTGAAGGTAATTTTGCAGACCTCTGGCAGTTACCCTCCTGTTACTCCTTGCACAAAGGCGGAGATAGTGGTCCTGTGGCTGGGTTGTTGTCCCCCCAACAGCCTCCTCCACATCTCCTGCTCTACTGGCCTGCCTCCTGGTAGCACATCCACTCAGTAGTGAGCAACAAATAAGGATGGTGAGTGAACTATTCCTTATTCCTGAGTCCACCCACATGGATGATACCTATTCTCTCACTTAGTAAGTCAGTAGTTTCTTTTATAAGCTGTCTCTTTGAAGAGCTGATTCACAACAGTTAGTGTGGGCCGCTATTAAAATAAACATAACTTAAGGAGCAGGTTGTTGCTATTACTGGTCACACAGGCAGCCAGCATGAATATTAAATACCATTGAGACAAGCATGGTATTTCACTTATTTTTTTTAAAAACATTTATTTAAATAAAAAATGTAGATTTGAATTTGACAACTTTATTTATACTTCAGCTTAGATTTAAAAATAAAAAATTAAATACATCAAAAGCTGATCAGATAAACTGAAAAGTTGATAAACTCTTAAAATTGAAATTGAGATCATTTGAATGTAACATATATACTTATATATATATATATATATATATATATATATATCATATGATGATTGTAATTCATCATTCAAATTATTCAAGAAACAATATGTAACATAATATTTAAGATAAAAATGCATTTACAACACAAACAGTAGGGGTTTTCCGTTTGGTTCGGTATATGTTTATTGTTACACCGAAAAATAAAAAAATTAATAAAAATTATAAAAATTAATGATTTTTTTAAAAATGAAATTAATGAAAAAATCCAAAAAAAATGTATGAATTGTAATTATTTTTAATGATTCGCGGAAACCATGGATAATTTCCGCATGTTTTGCTGCTTTGAATTTAATCATCTCGCCCATGCCCTCTACGATCTCCAAGGAACTCAGAGCGGAGCGGACGGGAGCCACAGTGGAGGCTGTAGGCTTTGCTTTGAGCAGCCGGTCTGGAGCGCAGTGGGGCAACAGAGCGCTGATGGAGTATGTGGGATTTCGGAGTTAGCATGACATGTTGGTCGTGTTGCTGTTAGCATAAACAAAACGTGTTGCACAATGCTCGCACACTGTTGCACTTTTATCCACAACTTTCTTTCCGCCGTCATCGTAGGTCACTCTAAATGCAAAGTGGTCCCATACAGCAGACCTATAAAGTGCTGCTGGCGCGTCTTCCAACTCTTGTTCTTTCCCACTCGCCATTCCGACACAATTCTCCACAACAATTGATTTTTTTCTGCTACACCCGGCTACGCTGCTTCGCTTCTTCTTCTTCTTGTTTACTACTAGTGATTGGCTTTGGTCGCAGTACCGCCACCTTCTGCTCTGGAGTGTAAACGCTTCGCCTATGAGAAAAAGGAGCAGTGCATGAACTGAACGCAACACACGCGAATCGACCCGAGACAGTCGAATCGAACGGTTCGGACGGTTTTCATAAACCGTTCCATCCCTAATAGACAGTGATATATTCTCCTAAGTACCGTTGAGCTCTGACATGTTATTAACAGAATTTACGGGGTCCAACAATAGAAATGACCACGCCCATCTGGCATAGTTAATTTCTTAATCCAAAGTAGTACCAACATCTTTGGCTAAGGGCAAAGATGGTATCTTATCCGATGGGGGATAGGGGGCACAGCGGGCATCGACATTAGGCTTAACTGTAAAGGAGTAGCATCGCTGGCTAATCTTCATTCATGAGGACTTTCGTAATTGGGAAATGAAAGTGTTGTTTGAGTAGCTCACTTCATATTACTGATTCTTTGCAAATCTTGGAGGAAAATCATTTAAGGTAAACTTGTGAATGTTATTTAATATGTGAGCAATATTAAAGGTTTAGTTGAGGATTTTCTTAAACTTTTTAAAGACCCACCCTCTCCACCTTTAAAAAAGGCACATGCACAGCCCTGTACTCACTCGTGAAAGGGATCGTCTATTAAACGCGTTTGAGAGCATGAACAAGCCCATTTCTCCTTTTCTAGCAGTGATATGAAATAATTTTTTCTAAACAGCATGCCAAACCTAACCTATCAAAAAGAAACATTGCCATGGCATCAGTGTACACCATCATGTAAAAGAATCTCCTAAAAACACTCTGGTCTTGTTTCTCTCTCCTGAGGCCTTACTTCTCATACACTTTGTAGACACTTTTTCTTTTTTTTTATACGATCTATAGGTCAAGGAACATCAGTGTCAGGTCCGACCATCCGTTATTCGAAAGGACTTAATAGGAAAAAAACAAGGATGACACCATTTAAAAAAAAACCTAATCATAAAACAGACTGACTGGAACTTGCCTAAGTATATTTTGACAAGCCACAAAGCTTCTAAAAGAATATCCTATGGACAGATGAGACCAAAATGGAACTCTATGTTCAGAGACAGAAAAATGAAGCATATCAAGAAAACAATACTTTTCCTACTGTGAAACATGGAGGAGGCACTAATATGGTCCGGGCTGCTTTGCTTTTTCTGGAACAGCATGTTTTGAATCTCTGCAGGTGACTATGAAATGGATTACAAATGGAAATGTGCTGCCTAGTGACAGAAAGCTTGGTTTCAGTTGCAGGTCATCAGTTTTGCAAGGACCTGAACAATGCAGTCTGGAAAAAGCACCCTTAAAAACCTGGAGCAGAGTGGGCCAAAATATCTGCAGAGCCATGCAGCAGTCTCCCTAACAGAACGGAATCACTTAATTAGACTGATTGCCTCAAAAGTTGTGCAAAATATTTTGTTCAGAGTACCACCATTTTTCCAGGCTTGTTTCATGAGTTTATTTTTTCTTTAAATGCAGCTGAAGCATGAATTCATACAACTTCAATGTTTATTACTGTTCTCTAATTAACTGTCAGGTTGACCAAATGATTGACCATTTTCTCAGGAGAATGCAGGTTGGAAGTTGCAAAGGCAGTTAAATTGTTAAACTTACTTATGTGGCAATTGATGTTTTTTGTTTCATAAAAGGAGGTTTCTACATTTTTGTCCACAAAACTGGATGTGAACAAAGTGATACAGTGATGCTTCAGGAATAGCTTTGTCCAAAATACCAGCAAGATTGGAAAGGGGGGTCAACGTAGATTACAGGGAACACACTCCTATCTGTATACAGGGGAGGTAGCAGAGTTTGTGGACAGCATAAAGTTCCTGGGTTTTTGAATCGCCTCTGACCTCACCTGGACTGAAAAGGTCTCACACCTGGTGAAGAAGGCTCTTCTTTCAGGAAGTTAAAACTCTCTGAATACTCTCCTCAGCTGCAAGTAAACTTCTGGCAGATCTGGACTTGGTTCATGTTACACGAGTCCAGAGAAGACCCAGACAGATTGGCAAAAATCCGTTCCACCGAGCACTGACTTGTATGTCAAACTTTTGTCGTTTGTCAGGAAAATAATCGGGGATTATTAAATCCTGAACAAAACAGTTTTTTACTGCTGTGAAGGCAGTCACCCCCCTGTAGACCTTTCAGGACGGTCGTTCTTCTCCACTGTGTACTTATTTAAATGTATAATTTTTTTCAACTGATAAAAGAGCTTCACTTATTGTCTTGACAAGTCTTTCACTTTTTATGTTATATTATCTTACATTTAGGGAGTTCCTAGGGTGCTTTCAGGATGGCCATTCCTTTCCATAGTTAATTATGTCTGTGTTTGCATTCTGAGACGACTGTCTAGACCAAAAATTAAACTATGGGTCCATAATTAAAATAAAGATTTCAGATTATTCTCACCAGAACATGTTTTGTACAGAATGTGATTCCATAATCTGACCAGTAGATGGCAGGAAACTGAATGGCAGCAAAAGCCCCAAAGTCATTTCTGTTGTGCAACAACATTGAGTGTTGTTATAAGTTATTAAATAGGAAAAATAGAAGAAACAACAGTTTCACTAAAACAAAGCAACAAAGTATAGCGCACTTTTTTTTAAATCATTGTTCAAAACAGCAAAAACAGCTTTGGAGGCAGGAAGATGTAATCATTTTGATTTCAATAAAAATGTCAATAATAAATTGAAAAAAGACAAAGGAAGCAATTTATTGGTTATTTATGTTTTTTTTTTATCAGGATAAAAATCCCTAAAAACCATCTGAACAGAACCTTCACCAACCCTTGAATTACAATATCTTTCAGGGGGTATTCCTGAATAAGATGTCTTATTAAACTGTAAGCATCAGTTCAAGTACAGCAATCATTGCATTAAAGGTGCTGCTCACAGCTCAACTTCAAGTAGCATTAATCTCATTTCCATTATGATGTGTTAGGAAAAACACATTTGGTCCCCTTCTTAAAACTGAGGTCAGCAGTGCATCTGAAAGCCTTGCTTATTCTGTCATCATGGCGTCGTCAGCCCAGCCCCACGTCTAGTGACATCATCACAACAAACCCCAGAATGGAGGTCCAGGAGGCCAACCTGCCGTTACCACTGAGAGACCAAAACAGAGAAAAAAAAAAAAAAAAAAAAACAGGTGAAAAATTAGATGTATTATTAAAGTTTCTCGTATCTTAAAGTACTAGCCTTGTTTTTCCACTAACCTGACTTGAGCCTCAGGTATGATGTCATCCACCACTACATAGACCATCGCTCCGGCTGCAAAAGCCAAGGCATATGGAAGAAGAGGTTCTGCTAGAACGACAGCAAAAGCTCCAAGCAAGCCCGCGATGGGCTCTACCATTCCACTGAGCTGACCGTACCTGAAGAGGAGAAGGCAAGGCAAGTTTATTTGAATAGCACAATTCATTACATTTACATCGACAATTCAAAGTGCTTAACATGAATTAGATAATAAAACATAAGAAAAATAAAAGCAGAATAAAAGCAAATAAAGATTACAAAAATAAATAGAACACATAAAACATTTGGACCACAACCTTATAATAATACCTCAGTTAACAATTTAACTTCAACCGTCAAAGGCAGCTCCAAACAAATAGCTTTAAAGAACTCAGGCTTCCAGTCTTCTAAGAGTTCCTTCCAGATCAGTGGAGCATAGGAACTAAATGCTGCTTCTGGGTGAATAAAGTAGGCAGGAACTAGAAGACCTGAGTGGTCTGGGAGGTTGATACACTGACAGAAAAATCTGTTACATATTGAGGTGCTGATCCATTCAGTGATTTATAGACAAACAGAAGGATTTTAAAGTCTATTGTCTGAGCTACAGGGAGCCAGTTGAAGGACTCCAGAACCGTGCTGATGCATTCTACTTTGTTAGTTCTAGTGAGAACACTGGCAGCTGCATTTTGGATCAGCTGCTGCTGTTTGATGGACTTTTGAGGCAAACCTTTGCAGATACTTTTACTACAGATAAATGCATGAATGAGTTTTTCTAGATCCTGCTTGGACATTAGTCCTTTAATCCTGAATTTGTTCTTCAGGTGATAAAAGGCTGACTTAACTCTGGATCTTTCCTCCTTTGGTCCTGACATTATTACCTTCGTTTTGCTTTTATTCAAAAATTATGCTGCATCCACATATTGATCTGTTCTGTGCATCTAGCCAACGCTCTGATGAGTTCATGGTTACCTGATGACAATGTGTTGTAAAGCTGTGTGTCGTCTGCATAGTTTTCGTAATTGATCTTGTTGTCTGCTATAATCTGAGCCAAGGGGAGCATGTAGATATTGAATGGGGGGGTGACCCAGAGTGGAGCATTGAGGAACTCTGCATGTGATTTTTCTGGTCTCTCATTAAAAGTTCCCTACTGACACAGAAGTCTCTGTCCTTGAGGTAGGATTCAAACCAGTCTAGGGCTGTACCAGAAAGGACAACCCAGGTTTCCAGACACTAATAAAATCAAGTGATCAACAGTATCAGACGCTGTCTGAGGTCCAATAATACCAGCACTGTGGTTCTTCCAGAGTCTGAATTTATACAGATGTCATTGAACACCTTAATCAGGTCAGTCTCTGTATTGTGTGGTTGTCAAGGAAACCCTGACGATAAGACAACAAAGCAACTTGTCATTAATAAGAAGACATTTAACTGTTGAAACACAAATTTTTCAATAATCTTACTGATGATACTGAGAAAAGCTCAGTCATTGTGGGAATGTGGAGCATCTCTGGTCAGCCTGAAGTTTTACAGAGTTCTTAAACCATCAGATTAGATCGACTTACCAGAAAGCCTTCCATGTTGAGACCCCGGAGCCCCTTAGGGGCAGGCTCACAGCCAAGCCTTCTGGGAAATTCTGGATGCCGATACCAATGGCCAGATTTCTAAAGAACATTAAAGCGGTCATCAGTAGTGTTGATAACAAACAAAAGCAGGTATCACTGTTTACAGCAAAAACCTCCACATTTAAGTCTGTTTTTATTGCATATATCAGTAAAAACATCTTTTAAAGTGCTCTGTGTGAAGAAAGAAAAATGAATTTCAGTAGAATTAAATAACTGCAGAAATGATTAGAGCGTTACAGTATTCTGGGACTTTAATGGAGATTATTGGAGCATAAGAACTAAAAGCTGTTTGGTTCTGGGTATGCATAGTAGACTTGAGACAGCAGACCTGAGAGACCTGGATGGTAGAGACATTACAAGTCTGCAACGTATTTTGGAGCTAAGCCATTCAGTGATTTATAGATCAACAGACGTGTTTTAAAGTCCATCCTATGAAATACAGGAAGCCAGTAGAAGGACATTAGAACTGGGGGGATGTTCTCCACTTTCTTAGTTTTAGTGAGGATGCATGTAGCAGCATTCTCGATCAGCTGCAGCTGATACAGTAGATTGTTTTAGTCAGACGTGTGAAGACATTATTGTAGTAATCAATTCTAGTAAAGATGAATCTGTAACTTAGTTTTTTAGGGTCCTGCTGAGACATTAGTGGTTTAATCCTGGAGATGTTCTTTGGGCGATAGTGGGTCGACTTTGTTATCTGCTTTATGGGCTTCTAGAGGTTCAGATCAGAGTCTATCACTGCACTCAGGGTTGAGCCTGCTTTGTGGTTTCTAGCCATATTAAATGAAGCTGTGTGCTAACTTTTAAAAGCTCCTCCTTTAGTCAAAAATGAATACTCCAGTTTAATTTTGATTTAGCTGAATACAATGTTTGTCACATCCATGCATTGAATTCTCTGTATTCACCCAGCGGCTGAATGAGTTCATAGTTACTGGTAACATTGTACAGCTGTGTGTCATCTGCATAGTTATGGTAACTTATGTTGCTTTTTATCAATATCTGTTAGAGAAAGCATTCAGATATTTAATAGGAAGGTCCCTAAGTCAAACCCTTGGAGAACTGCATGTTTGATTTTTGTGGTCTGATGTAAATGAATACAATACAACAGTTTCAGTGAAGCAAACTCTTGAGGATCTCTGACCCAGTGTTGACTTAAATGACAAATGATAATAAATAGAATCCACCTGTGTTTAATCTAGTCTCCACAGAAATGCACTTGGCCTATGATTGTGTCAGAGGTCTGTTTAAAGCACAAAGACTTTCATGAGGAACAAGGAACCAGACAGGTCTGAGATACTTAGTAGAGAATGTTAACGCTGGGTTTGGATACAAAATGATTTCCGAAGCTTTAAAGGTGCCGTAGGAGATCTTGGAAAAACAGTTCCATCAAGCTATATTTTTACTTCATACTTCAAAACACATGAACTGCTCTTGCTGCTTTAGGTGTGAATAGGGTGACCAGATGTCCTCTTTTTCAAGGTCAAGTCCTACTTTTCATACCTAAAAAAATTTACAGGGGGAATTTCAAACTTGTCAGGGATTTTGGTCGACTACCGTGCAGCAGAACCGAGCCATGAGCTCCGGGGCTGGGGACAGAGCGACCGAACAGGACCCGGTGACAGTTGCCTGGACACCGGCGGCCCCGTGCTTCCCCCCGCCTGCCTTATGGGGACCATTTATTTTGGTTGCACTTCCAGACCTTCTGTTTCACTGCTTGTTAAGCGGCTGTGGGGAGAGCTTAAAGCTGCATGGGAAAAAATGCATTAGAAAAGATCTCCTACTGCACCTTTAAACATTCCAAGGAGCACTGTGCACCGATAATATTGAAAATGAAGGAATATCAGACCACTGTGAATCTAAAGACCTGACCATCCCTCTAAACCTGAGGGAGAAAACTGATCAGAGATGCAGCCAAGAGGCCCGTGATCACTCTGGGTGAACTGCAGAGATCTACAGCTGAGGTGGTAGACTCTGTCCAATAGATTGAAAAACTTGTGTACTGGACAAATCTGGCCTTTATGGAAGAAAGGCATTTCTTAAAGATATCCATAAAAAGTCTCATTCAAAGTTTAAGGTGCCCTGGTCAGATGAAACCAAAATCAAACCTTTTGGCAACAACGCAAAATGTTACAGTATGTTTGACATAAATACAACACAGCTTATCCCCCTGAACACACCACTCCCACTCTCAAACATAGTGGTGACAGCATCAGGGTTTGGGCTTGCTTTTCTTCAGCAGGGACAGGGAAGGTGGTTAAAATTGATAGGAAGATGGATGGAGCCACATACGGGACCATTCTAGAAGAAAACCTGTATCTTCCCACACAAAAAGGGCAAATAAACATATCCAGGCATTAGAATGATCAAGTCAAAGTCCACACCTAAATCTAATCAAGAATCTGTGGAAAGAACTGTAAACTGTTGTTCGTTCTCTCCATCCAACCTCACTGGGTTCGAGCTCTTTTGCCAGAAGAATGGGGAAAACTTTCACTATCTTGATGTGCAAAACTGATAAGAGACATACCACAAGCGTCTTGTGTATGTAAATCAGTTTTTTCAAACAGTGAAAGAACAATCACAGCTCTTCTGACTTCAGTCCTTTATTACTGACCTCCCTGCTTGTAAATTATAATGAATATTAAAGATGTGTTTAACACATTATTTATTCATAGTGTGAAACTATCCGTAGAATCATATAGCTTTGCAGAGGAGCATGAATGGTAAATGAGATTAAACAAGTACAAAGGTTCTAACTTACTTTGCAGTACCAAAATGTCACCACTAGATGGCAAGAACAGGCAAGCCAGAGCCTTTTGGAGATTCAAACTAAAGCACCTAGGAAAAATTCTTTTTAACTTTGATTAATATGAAATTTTGGAACTGCTAAAAGGATCAAATCTTATTATAATGCCATAAGCATTGCTTTGTCCTGCCCTGTTTACCAGCCTGATATTTTTAACATATGTTTTAGTCAAACAGTGCCAAAGTCCAGAGATAGTCATTGATTAGAGTTGAATTTCTTAAAGCGTCTTTTAAAAGAGACTTAAATAAACACACACACACACACACATATATATATATATATATATATATATATATATATATATATTATATATATATATATATAGCTTTTATTTTTACTTCTATGCTGATGGGTGTCTTACCTGGCACTCTCAAAGGTAGCAGAGGAAGTCTTGCCTATTGCTCCAAAACCAACTCCTACAGCCAGGCCCTCTGAAAAAACAGAGACAAAAATATCCGTTAGCTTGTCCTACACTAGAAGAAACAAGAGAAAAAAACAGGTCAATATTGAAAGACTGATAACTATTATAACATATAGAACATATGAAACGAAAGAGTTGGAAAACAATACTAAAGGACGGAACAGAATAGGTTTTTTTCTGTTCTTGTTTCCAGTCGTTATATTTGTGAAAACATAGTTCTGCTTTACTGCACACACGTGAATGAGAGTCAAAGAAAGAAATCTTCTTTTCTTCTTTATCAGTTGCAGTTTTCACCACAGGAAGCCACACGTGTGTGCATGTATGAAGTGAAAGAAACGTTTGATAAAACCCTAACTTCCATTGGTGTGTTTATAATGACAGAATGGGGTTTAGTTCTTTTAACTGACCCTTTGGGGCAGCAGGTCACCCGAGATACAGCTAGCCAAAAGGATTATCCGCAAAAGAACTGAATATTAAAACAAATATTCATGACAGATTTGATCAAACTTTTTTTTCAGATAGAGCTAAGGGTTAAGGTGAAACGGATGTTTTATAATGAGCAGCTAATTTTGGACAAGAGCAAACTTCAAATTCAGAGGGTATGTGTTTGTTTTACCAGATCCTTAATTGATTATTTAAAGAAGTGTTGCACCGATACCAGTATTGGGCTGGGTCCCTATCCAGCACTAAAATGTTGGTATTGGTATCGGCGAGTACCGACAAATAGGGCACCGATACCATTCGAGAGCCAAAAGTTTATTCAACTATTGTCACCCATTCCAGGTAGGCCATAAGAAGTTCTACTAGATTCACTTTGTATTAGTCTTTTTCCTGCTTCACAAAGGTAGGCAGCAGCTCAACAAAGCCATGATGGCAATTCTTTTACATCCAAGTAGTATGCAGTTCTTCATATACAGTATACACACACATCAATTTCAAACAGATGGTATCGGTCGAAAATGCATGTATCAGGTATCGGTATTGGGAACAAAAAATGGCATTGGCACAACACTAATTTAAAGCTAATGTTTAGATGTGATTTAAAGCAAGCTCCTGTGATAACTTAATAAACAATATAAAGAAATTAAATGTGATGCTAAAGAGTAATAATTGTTAGGAGGTGCAGAGGAGGGGAAGTTGTGGGCAAACATACATTAGGGAAAGGTTCGTCTCACAAAATTAGCAATAGATCACAAAATACTTTTTAGAAACAAGACTCTCACCCACTGCCCAGGTAGTTAAAGACAGGGTGGTAGCCCAGCGATCCTACAAGTGTATACAACAGACAGATGAACTGATGGGTAGAAATTTTATTTTCAACTCATGGTTTTCACTTGAAAAAAAATCCATGTCTTAACAGATTTTCCTGCTTAGAAGATTCAAGCAGCTATGGTGTGTTTATTAGAGGCTCCACAGCTGTGATCGATGTAACAAGGCTGCTTCTTTTCCATCTCTCCACCCTCCACCCACCCTGTGCACCATTTCCACCGCCGTCCTACTTATCTCATTTGTTATGCCCGTCACATAGGCTTTAAGCACTCTTCATTCAAACCAAAAGCGAAAAGGTCACAGTGAGCGATGTATCTATGAGTGCATTTGTGTGTTTGAGAATGTGTTTTGCGTGACCCGTGAAGACAGATCTACTTGCTGTTTTGCATTTCACGCTGTCACGGCACCCCTCCACACTGATTACAGGTTGTCAGGCTTGAGGACAGGTGTGGGCTGGTCAACCGCTGAGAGCTTTATGCAACATGGGGGCATGATTCTGATGAGAAAGGGAGGAGGACCGGCTCTCAGAGTGGTATCTTCTTCAGCTCTGTTCAGGTATTTTTAGAATCTAAACATAAACATGTGGACTCCGTGCTTTTAAGTGTTTCTATAACAAATGAAACCCACAATTTTGTTAATGCCCAGTGATAAACGGGCGACCAATGCCTGTGCCACACCTGCCACTCAGAGACAGCTGGTTCTAGACACAAGCCCCCAACTCCCCTGCAAAGATTCAGTCAAGGCTGAATGAAATCTTAACTATTTATCCCAGCAAAATTCTGTATTTGATGGACAAATTTGTAGCAACTGTGATAAAACTTTCTTAAAAGCAGACTCATAATGCCACTTTTATACAAGCAACATTTGAAACTTTCCAGCATTTTGTATCCTCGGCTGCGGCACCTCTAATGTGTCGTTTCAGCCTTTGCTCCAAATGAATAGAAAATGAAAAACATGAAATATTCTACCACATGTGGGGCTGAGAGCTGCAGCTGCATCCTCTATGCCATTTAATTAGTCTGTTGAGCTGTTTTAATGAAAACCAGGAGGGTTGCTTGCCTTAACGCAGTTATAGTAGAATTAGAACATCAATGCGTACTACTTTGAGATTGACTGTAGTTGGACGTACCTTCGATAAAAACAGTAATGCATATTAAGATTTGTTTTGGGCTCAAACGTTCTGCATTGCATAATATATGTAACTAAGAAAACTGACATCTGATATCAGTTGGAGACGCAGAGGGAGAAATGTTTTGACTTAGACAAACTTTGTCATTTTATACTGTATACACGCTGTGTATACGGAACAAAATTTTGTTACATGAAGCTTTCTGACAGTGAATGAGCGGCTTAGCAGTGAAAATTAACGGTGATTCAACTATTACTACTTTTGTAGATATTAGACAATCACTAATAAAGTTTAACTTGCATAGGGTTTGCAAAGAGGAAACCTACAAACTTTTACTAAGATTTGCCAAAGAAAATACAAACAGGGCCAATAGTTCTTTGGACAGATAAAGATGTGTTTGGTGTAAACTAAATACAGCAGTTGATGATAATCATGTAGTTATTTTCTTTCACAATTTCATGCAGTTCTTTTCTGGTTCATGAGAATGACCTGTCTGATTAAGCTTTTTGTACTGTATGTTCTATTACTTATAACTCTGACAAAAAATTAGCTGATCTGAAAATGAGCAAGAGACAAAGAAAAGGGGAAAGAGAAAAACAAGAAGTAAAAGAAAGGATGAGGCGGCAGACAGCAGCAGGGTTAAAGGGCCTTTGAGACACTTCATCATAATCTAACATCTGTGATTACCTCTGACAACAGTGCTTTCTGCTTCCTATCAACTTTTCATCCAGCTCACTGAAGGCAGACTTCCAGCAGATAAATAATGTGAACAAACAGCTTTGGGTGCTGTTTGGATCCCCTAAACTATCTATTTTTTATGTTAGCTTTGTCTGCAATACTGCTGAGTCAATAGAAACTCCATTGTCACAGAGGGCTGCTACCTATCTGCAGCAGTCTATAGGTACAACCTGGACTGGTTGACAGTACATGGCAAAAATAACACATAGATAGGGAACCTCATACTCACCTACTCAAACCTAAGGGCAATTTAGAGATAATTTAAAGGATTTGGCCGGTGGGAGGAAGCCTGAGAAACATAGAGAGCACAGAATAAACATGCAAAGTTCATGCAGAAAGGAAAAGGGCAAAAATCAAAGGACATTAATTTTCCAGGACTTTCTTGCCTCAAGGCAACACTGCTTCAAAGTGTGCCACTGTACTGCTAAAAAGAAACTACTGTATGTAAGAATCTTGTTTTACTGAGGCTGAATAAGTCAGGTTAAGAGAGAGACGTCGATCATGTTAACAAGCTGCTGGCTACGTTTTTCCAATCCTGTAACTGATAAATTTGGTCTTATTTGATTTTTTTTCTCTGTGTTGAAAGCTCTGATTTAAATAATTAAAATGAACTTTATTAATCTCACAATGGAGAAATTAACTCTCTGCATTTATAGGGAGCAATGGGCTGCCACTATGCTGCACCCGGGGAGCAATCAAGGTTTTTGCTCAGAAAGCCAGAGTGGAAGTCTGTGGGAGTGGGTTTTAAACTCACAACCTGAGGATTGCAAGCCCTATGCCCTTACCACAAGGCCACCACTTCCCTTTAGAACAAAGGAAGAGTTCTATTGGTATTCTCACTGATGATGGTGTCTGATTAAATATTTGGGCAAGTAAACAGCAAGCAAGAGAAATTGCAGAGATGAGTCTGATACTTTCTATTGCCTTGACATTGCTCAACGGTTACACAGCTGGAAATGTGAGCCAGAAGTTTAGGAGATGACCTATTGCATCAATTGTGGCCATCTCCAGTAGCAGCCATTGAAAATGGCCCTTCCCAGTCAAATGCCAGCTGAATGGCAGCCCACTTCCCTGCGACTCCCAGCATAATCCCCCAAACTTCCAGCCATTGGAGTGACCCCCTCCTTCTCCTGGGCTGCATATTTTTCTACTCTGACTCCACCTTTTTACTGAATTACAGGGTATGACCAGGAGAAGGTGCTTCTCTTTAGATCTTAATGTCCACAAATTATGAC